ACAGAGAGAAAGGTCTTCCTTTTGCCGTTGGTTCACCCTCCAATGGCTGCCACGGCTGGCGCGTTGCGGCCGGCGCATCGCGTTGATCCAAAGCCAGGAGCCAGGTGCTTCTCCTGGTCTCCCATGCATGTGCAGGGCCCAAGCACTTAGGCCATCCTCCACTGCACTCCTGGGCCATAGCAGAGAGCTGGCCTGGAAGAGGGGCAACCGGGACAGAATCTGGTGCCCCGACCGAGACTAGAACCCAGTGTGCCGGCGCCTCAGGTGGAGGATTAGCCTATTGAGCCACTGCGCCGGCCTAACTCTGCCTTTTAAATAAATAAATAAATCTTAAAAAAAAAATGACCAGGATATTTAACACACTCTGTTCTATGGAGTTGAGTAGATGTTATGCTTTAAATTAACACTGAATACATCAAGGGCTTTCTTCCCTGATGTAGCAAAGCATAGGAGTACCTGGAGGTTGAGAAAAGAGAGCTGGAGAAGATGTACCCAATTGCTCAAGTTTGATTCCTCCTTGAATATATTTTTAGGAAGCTACCCAGCCCCACTGCCTTCGCCTCACCATTTCCTCTTTCTATATGAGCCCTTCTGACATATACCCAGTAGTGGTTTGAGTATGGCAGGGATACTAAGTCAGACTGCTTTGGAGAGGCATGGGACTCCTCTGATAGGTAACTGTGGCTACCAAACTCTCCAACAATTGTGTCGAATTTTCTTGGAACCTCACTGCAGTCTACCTCTGTTGCTGCCCATCTCTCTTCTGTCCCTACAGGAATCTTTATTCTCCTTTGGGCTTATCACTTGACCAGCTTTCTCTCGCTTTTTTCATTTTTCTCTCACAGGCATTCATTCAGTAGTTCTCTTCCATTTCTAAACTCATGTACTTCTTGCAAGAACTAAATAAAGTAGCACAGGAGTCAACCGAAGTGTCTGGCACATAGTAAGCCATCAGTACTTACTAGCTTTGTTATGGTAAACTAAGTAAGAGATGGTGATGATTTTATGGTAATGGTGCTGGTTGGAAATGTCCAAACTGGAGAGCTTTTTAGCTGATGGATACAATAGGACTGTCAATGCATATAGGGGATTAAAAAGGATTGGTTTGCCCACTTTATTTATTTTAGAGGCAGTTACAGAGAGAGGGAGAGATAGAGAAGTCCTCCATCTGCTGGTTCACTGCTCCAGTGGCCACAATGGCTAGAGCTGGGCCAGTCTGAAGCCAGGAGCCAGTAGCTTCTTTTGGGTCTCTCACATGAGTGCAGGGCCCCAGGCACTTGGGCTATCTTCCACTGCTTTCCCAGGAACATTAGCAGGGAGATAGATTGGAAGTGGAGCAGCTAGAGCTTGAACTGGCACCCATATAGGATGCTGGCACTGCAGACAGAGGTTTAACCTACTATGCTGTAACACTGGCCCAAAGGGGGTAATATGATTTTAATCTGTGCTTTATGAAGTTCAGTTTAGTTACTTAGTGAATATATTAGAGATATACAAGAGTAGTTTGGGAAATTGCTTAATGTATGCCTTGGAGCGTGATTGACTATCTCTCTTGTATACTAGGTATCAGTTTTCACTTTTTTTTTTTTTTTTGACAGATAGAGTTAGACAGTGAGAGAAAGAGACAGAGAGAAAGATCTTCCTTCCGTTGGTTCACCCACCAAATGGCCACCACGCCTGGTGCTGTGCCGATCCGAAGCCAGGAGCCAGGTTCTTCCTCCTGGTCTCCCACACGGGTGCAGGGCCCAAGCACTTCGGCCATCCTCCACTGCCTTCCCGGGCCACTGCAGAGGGCTGGACTGGAAGAGGAGCAACCAGGGCTAGAACCCGGTGCCCATATGGGATGCCGGCACCGTAGGTGGAGGATTAACCAAATGAGCCATGACGCTGGCCCCCGTGTTTTCACATTTGTAAAATGGAATAGAATAGCACTACCTTAGAGTTTGTTAAGTAAAAGAACTTAGAATAGTATCTAGCACATAGTAAGTAGATACTACCTCTTATTTTTTTTTAAGATACATGCTTTTTTTATGATGTATTTATTTATTTGACAGTCAGAGTTAACACACAGAGAGAGAGAGAGGTCTTTCATTCGACGGTTCACTCCCCAATTGGCCGTAATTTTATTTTTTTATTTTATTTTATTTATTTATTTATTTGAAAGGTAGAGTTAGAGAGAAGGGGAGATACACACACACACACACACAGATCTTCCATCCACTGGCTCACTCCCCAAATGGCTGCAACAGCTCGGGCTGAGCCAGGCCAAAGCCAGGAGCTCCATCTAGGTCTCTTATGTGCGTGCAGGGGCTCAAGGACTTGAACCATCCTCTGCTGCTTTCCCAGGTACATTAGCAGAGAGCTGGATCGGAAGTGGAGCAGCTGGGACTCAAACCGGCAGCCATATGGGATGCCAGCACCGTAGACAGCAGCTTAACCTAACCTGCTGTGCCAAAGCACTGGCCTCCTTATGTTTGTTTTTAGAAATTTGTTTGTTTATTTATTTGTTTATATTTATTTACTTGACAGAGAGAGACATTTTCCATCTACTGGTTCATTCCCCAAATGCCTATGACATGCAGGACTGGAATAGGCCAAAGTCAGAAGCCAGGAACTCCATCCTGGTCTCCCCTGTGGGCAACAGGTGTCAAGCACTGAAGCCATCATCTGCTGCCTCCCAGGATGCATTAGCAGGAAACTGGTTCACAAGTAGAGGAGCTGGGACTTGAATCTACACTCCAGTATGGAATGTGGATGTCCCAGGGCGCAAGCATAATCCGCTGTGCCTCAACACTCCTCTATTTTGTTATTACCATATATTTGAGTACTTACTGCTTCATGGCACTGGACTGGATACCATTATTAAGCTGAATGTAACAAGTGACAAAAGCAAGTTCAAAGTAATATGTAAACAGACTGAACTTTAGGTTATAACAGTGCTTCTAGGAACCAGAATATAAAACAAGTTTCTTAGTTGTTGACATGTTATAATTCTGAAGATGTTTTATTTTGATTTATTTAACATTTTTGCACCAGTGCTCTATTGTATAGTGAATGAATCTCTAGGGAGCATATTTTGACCATATCCTTTTGTTATAAATTTCACTGCTGCCTGACTTTGTCATTAAGACATTAACTTTCAGGGCTGGTGCTGTGGTGTGGAGGGTAAAGCCACTGCCCGCAATGCTGGCATCCCATATGAGCGCCTATTCATGTCCCAGCTCTCCACTTCCCATCCAACTTTCTGCTGATAGCCTGGGGAAAGCAGCAGAAGATAACTCAAGTGCTTGGGTCCCTGCTACTTTCATGGGAGACCTGGAAGAAGTTCCTGGCTCTTGGCTTTGGCCTGGCCCAGTGCTGGCCATTGTGATCATCTGGGGAGTAAACCAACAGATGGAAAGTCTCTCTCTGTAACTCTGACTTTCAAATAAATAAATACATCTTTTAAAAAAAATCTTAAAAAGGAATTTTTAGGGCAGGAGTGTGGCCTTGCTGTTGGGATGCCCACATCCTCTGAGTGCCTGCGTTTGGGTGCTGACTCCCGGTTTGAGATTCCTGCTAGTGTGCCCCCCTGGAAGAAGGTAGCAGGTGATGGCTCAAGTGGTTGGGTCCCTGCTACCCATGTGGGAGACCCGGATGGAGTTCCTCAGTCCCAGCTGTGGCCTGGCTCAGCACCAGAACAGCTTTGGCTGGCCATTGTGGGCATTTGGGGAGTGAACACCCGTAGGAATGTACTCTCTTCTCCCCTACCCTCTCTGTCTCTGTCCAACAGAAAAATAATTTTTTTTGACAGGCAGAGTGGACAGTGAGAGGAAGACAGAGAGAAAGGTCTTCCTTTTTCCATTGGTTCACCCCCCAGTGGCCGGCGCACCACGCTGATCCGAAGCCAGGAGCCAGGTGCTTCCGCCTGGTCTTCCATGCTGGTGCAGGGTCCAAGGACTTGGGCCATCCTCCACTGCCTTCCCAGGCTACAACAGAGAGCTGGACTGGAAGAGGAGCAAGAGGGACAGAATCCAGCGCCCCTACCAGGACTAGAACCCAGGGTGCCAGCACCACAGGCGGAGGATTAGCCTATTGAGCTGCAGCACCAGCCCATATAAATAATTTTTAAAAATTAACTTTGTGAACATGTACTGGTATTAAATATTTCTTTAATTTTTAGTAAATATGTTAGTTTTTTTTAAAAAGATCATTTATTTATTTGAAAGAGTTACAGAAAGAAGGGGAGAGACAGATCTTCCATCTGCTGGTTCATTTTCCAGATTGTTGTAATGGCCAGTGCTGGGCCTGGCCAAAAGCGAGATCCAGGAAACTTCTTCTAGATCTCCCATGTGGATGGCTTGGGCTTGGACACTTGGGCCATCTTCTCCTGCTTTTCCCAGGCCATTAGCAGGGAGCTGGATTGGAAGTGGAGCAGCTAGGACATAAACCCATATGGGATGCTGGCCTTGTAGTTGGCAGCTTTACCTGCTACGCCACAACACTGGCCTCAATGTGTCAATTTTTAAGTTGTTTTGAATACCAGTTTCTGAGAGCTTTTTCTTTTTGTTTAAACAAAGAGGACACAGTGGTGATTGAAATGTAAATGGGTAATGAATCTTTGGAGGGACTTGGCTCCAATGGGATTTGAGTGACTAATTTTTAAAAAATGAATATTTTACATCTTTTTTGTTAAAGAATTAAGATTTAGGCTTGTTTTTGTACAAGTGAATATTAATAGCAGTTAACATTAGGGGTTGAGACTGGGAAGCATGTTTTATAATTGAATTTCATATAATAAGTAGCAGAGAACTAAGAAAGAAAGCAAAGTCAAAACAATTACAGAAACAAATGTGTGTGTTAAACAACTTACAAACAGTGCTTGATTCTTGTGGTGGATTCAGGCACTATTAGTTTGATCTAGTATGATCCATGAAAACTGTACTAATACAGAATTTAAAATGAGTTTTGTCTCTCCTTGTTCCATTACTAATCTTCATTTACCTGCTTTATTTTTACAGGGATGTGCATGCAGTCTGTCTCTGGGATGATAAAGGCCCAGCAAAAATCCATCAGGCTTTAAAAGAAGACATTCTTGAATTTATTAAACAAGCACAGGCAGTAAGTTCTTTTCTCTATTTTAGATTTGTTCTAAAACTACTCTGACAGTATCATATTTTATGATTTTGACAGTGGGGCTTCCTAAAGTAACTTTAAATATGCCATTGACATTTTTTGCAAAAGATTTATTTACTTGAAAGGCAGAGTTATGGAGAGACAGAGAGGTCTTCATTTACTGGTTCATTCCCCAAATGACCACAATGGCTGGAGCTAGGCTGGTCCAAAGCCAGGAATCAGGAGCTTCCTATGCATCTCCGCGTGGGTTCATGGGCCCGATGGCTTGGGCTGTCCTCCACTGTTTTTCCAGGCACATTAGCAGGGAGCTGAATCAGAAGTGGAGCAGCTGGGACTAGACCTGTGCCATATGGGATATCGGCACCATGGGCAGCAGCTTTACCCCCTACTCCACAGTGCCGTCCCCTTAAATACATTTTTTAATGAAATGATTGTCATTTCATTTATTTTTTCACCCTACAGCAATATTTTTATTAAGAGAGTACATTACAGGGACCAGCGCTGTACCATAACAGGTAAAGCCACCGCTTGCACTGCAGGCATCCCATATGGGTACCGGTTCAGGTCCTGACTGCTCCTCTTCCAATCTAGCTCTCTGCTATGGCCTGGGAAAGCAGTATTAGGTGGCCCAAGTCCTTGGGCCCCTGCATCCACGTGGGAGATCTGGTAGAATCGCCTGGCTCCTGGCTTTGGATCAGCACAGTTCTGGCCAGTGCAGCCAATTGGGCAGTGAACTAGGAGATGGAAGACCTCTCTCTCTGCCTCTCCTCTCTCTCTGTAACTCTGACTCAAATAAATAAATAAATGTTAAAAAACAAACAAAAAAAGAGAGTACCTTACAGTGGCCAGCATTATGACATAGAGGGGCCACTGCCTGCAATATCAGGATTCTCATGTGTACACTGGTTCGAGACCCAGCTGCTCCACTTCCTATTCAGCTCCCCGCTGATGTGCCTGGAAAAGCAGCAGAAGATGGCCCAAGTCCTTTGGCTCCTGCACCTTCATGGGAGACCATTTGGGGAGTGAACCAGTGAATGGAAGGTCTCTCTTTCTCTCTCTTTTCATTTCTCTTTGTAGCTCTGACTTTGAAATAAATAAATAAATCTCCTTAAGAGAGAGAGAGCACGCATTACTGTCCTCAGAAAATGCTGTAAAGAATTTACTTTTTAAAATGTTTTTTAAAAGTCTTCACCACCATGATTTTTTGACCATATATCAGTCCACATGAATCTGGTTTTTCCCTCTCATGACCTCTTACCAAGTTGTCTGCAATTTTCTTCAATTCCAGATACTCCTCTGATTGTAAAATTCTTGTATTATCCTTTGTGTTGCTGTTGCTGAATAATTCAGTATTCTTATGTTGATGTTATATATAAATGTTTAATATTGCTGAAGTAAATATTCGTTTTCATTAATTTTAGTGGGATTTAGTTCTTTTTAAAGATTTACTTATTTATTTGAAAGAGAGAGATGGGAAGACAGAGAAGGAGCTAGAGATCTTCCCTCTGTTTAATTCCCAGAATGACTGCAGTGGGGCCGTGCTGAACATAGGAGTCTGGAAGTCTCTGTGGGAAGTGAGTGGCAGGGACCCAAGCACTCAGGCCATTTGCTGCTGCATTCCCAGGCACCTTAGAGAGTTGGATCAGAAGCACAGCAGTCATGACTTGAAGCAGTGCTCATATGGGATGCTGGTGTTGCAGGCAGGGGCTCAACCCACTGTACCACATGTCAAGCCTCCTTCCCCCTGCCATGGAATTTAGTTTTGAAAGACAAAGTTAACAGAGACAGAATGAGAGACACAGAGATCTTCCATCCACTGGTTCACTTCCCCAAAAGGCCACAACTAGGCCACAACCGAAGCTAGAAGCTTCTTCCAAGTGTCCCACATGGGTGGCAGGGGCCCAGGCACTTGGGCCATCTTCTGCTGTTTTCTCAGGTGCATTAGCACGGAGCTAAATCAGAAGTAAAGAAACTGGGACTCGAACCTGTGCCCATACAGGATTCCAGTAGTACAGGCATTGGCTTAACCTAGTTTGTCACAGCACCAGCCCCTCTTGTTAATTACTAATAGCTGCTTAGCAGTTGCACTTCAAATTGACTTTCTTCTGTATATGGCTTAACTGCAGATATTGAAATTAAGTGTGGGGCCAGTGCTGTGGCGTAGCGGGTAAAGCCACCGCCTGCAGTGCAGGCATCCCGTATGGGTGCCAGTTTGAGTCCCGGCTGCCCCACTTCCAATCCAGCTCTCTGCTATGGCCTGGGAAAGCAGTAGAAGATGGTCCAGTTCCTTAGGCCCCTGCACCCACATGGGAAACCTGGAAGAAGCTCCTGGCTCCTGACTCCTGGCTTTGGATCAGCGCAGCTCCGGCTTTTGCGGCCAATTGGAGTGAACTAGCAATGGAAGACCTCTCTGTCTCTCTCTCTCTGCCTCTCCTCTCTCTGTATAACTGACTTTCAAATAAATAAATCTTTAAAAAAAAAAAAAAGAAATTAAATGTATAATGAGTTTATATTTGCTGGTTACCTCTGGTGTCATATAGTTAAAAAAATATTTTGTTGACAACATCTTGCTAAATTTTTTAAATGGTGTCATACAGAATTATTTATTTATTTAAAGGTTTATTTATTTGAAAGTCAGAGTTGCAGAGACAGAGGGAGAGACAGAGAAAGAGAGAGAGAGATCTTCTATCTACTGGTTCATTCCCCAGAACTGCCAGTGCTGGACCAGCCTACAGCCAGGAGCTTCATCTAGGTCTCCCACATAGCTGACAGAGACCCAAGCACTTGGACCATCTACTGCTGCTTTTTCCAGGCCAATGGCAGGGAGCTGGATCAGAAATGGAGCAACCCAGACTCTAACCAGCAGCCATAAGGCATGCTAGAGTCATAGATGGCAGTCCCATTCCCTATACCACAAGGCTGGCCCTAGGCAATATCTTTTATTAAAATAAATCCTATCTTCAAGCGTTATTTAGAAATTTCAGTGTTTCAGTATCACAGTTTAATCAATACAGTTTCACTACAACCGCTTTAGAAATATGATTTGCATTAAAAAATTAGTGTATCTTTTTTGACTTTTGGTTAAGGTAGATTTGTCTCAAACCTACCTTAGATGGTGTCATTCTTCAGTTTCTGGAAATAGGCTCCTAAGAATCATCTGAGGTACTGTTTGACAGATATTAAAAATTAACTTCACATTAGCAGTTGTAGTTTATTAGAGTTTTACTGTAATATGACCCAGTAAAATCTGGAATGTGTATCTCAGGAAGAACCTGAGGATGGGATTTAGTATCTTGCTAATTTAGAGCAGTTAAATTGTAGAAATAGCAATGACAGACAAGGTGTATACTTTTTTAAATTCTTATGAAAGTCATTTTACTAGACAACATTTGATTGAACTTACCTTTGTTAGAAGGACCAGATCTCCCAAATGGTAAAGGCAGTAAACATTAAATGTTTATTTTGAGGGCAGACATTGTGGCACAATGGGCTAAGCCACCACTTAGAATGCTCACATCTCATATCCCAGTTCCTGGAACTGAATTCTGCCTCCATTTCCAATCCAGCTTCTTATTAGTATGCTCCCTTAGAGGCAGCAGGTGATAGCTGAAGTACTTGGGTCCTTGTCACCTATGTGGGAGAGCCAGATGCCTTTGGCTTGGCACAGCCCCAGCTCTTGTGGTCACTTGGTGAGTGAACTGGCAGATGGAATTTCTCGTTGCTCACTTTCTCTGTTCTTAATACATAAAATATAAAATTTAAAATTATTTAGTATTATTAAAAGTGATAAGTAAAAATAAACATAGTGCTTGGGGAGTTACTAGATTTTATTTCGTTTAGATTTACTGTAACTAATTTATAATTCTATAGGTTTTTAAGTTGGGCTGGACTCAGTTGATTTTGCCTAAGGTATTTTGTGTTGTTTTTTGAAAGATTTATTTTACTTATTTGAAAGGCAGAGTGACAGAGAGAGGGGGACACAAAGATCTTCTGTATGCTGCTTCACTCCCCAAATGACCTCAACGGCCAGAGACTCTGCCAGGCCAAAGCAGGAGCCAGGTGCTATATCCATATCTCTTACGTGGGTAGCAAGGGTCCAAACACTTGGGCCATCCTCCACTGTTTTCCTAGGTACCTCAGCAGGGAGCTGGATTGGAATTGGAGCAGCCTATACTCAAAACCATTGCTCATATGGGATGCCAGCATTGCAAGCAATGGTTTAGCCCCTTGCACCCAACCACCAGCCCTTTCCTAAGATTATATTAATACAGAGGCAGTTAGCTGTTGGCTCTACAGGGACTGGGTGATCCAAGAAAGCCTTTATCATGTATCTGATGTTTGATGCTGGTTTTCTCCGTGTGATCTATCCTCCTCAAGGGAACCTGCCTTTGAAATAAAAGTTGAATCTACAAGGTATCTTCAGATTTAGACTTGAAGTCTCACAACATTACATGTGCAGCATTCTGTTACTCAAAGCAAGTCAGAGGGCCAGCCCAAACTTTAGCAATGGGGAAATACTCTACCACCTTTTTAAAAAATTGAGATTTATTTTACAGACAATAGAATTTACTCCTTCAAAGTGTATGATTCAGTATGTTTTAATGTATTCATAGAAATTTGCAACCATCACCAGCTCATTTCAGAATATTTCAAACACTCTATAAAGAACCTTGTACCTGTTAACAGTAACTCCTCATAACCCCCTCCTCCCAATCCCTAGCAACCACTAACCCACTTTCTGTCTTAGTCTATTTATATAACTTCCTATAAATAGAATCATAATATGTGTCCTTTAGTGACTAGTTTATTTCACTTGGGATATTTTTAAGATTCATCTGTATTTTAACATTAATCAATTTTTTATGGCTAATATTTTTATGGCTATACCACATACTGTTTGTTCATTCATCAGTTGGTGGATATTTGGGTTTTTATTTTTTGTATATTTTAAATAATGTTGCTGTGAACATTCATGGTGAACATATAATTTTCTCGGGTATCATACAGTTCATAAAATAAATAAAATATTAAAAATTATGTTATGAATATCTTTTATATTTATTCATCAGAGTATTTGCATTTATTTCAAATTGGTATGATTCTTTTTTTCAGCGAGTTCTGAGCCATCAAGATGATACAGCTTTGTTGAAAGCATATATTGTTGAATGGCGAAAATTCTTTACACAATGTGACATTTTACCGAAACCTTTTTGTCAACTAGAGATTACTTTAATGGGTAAACAAGGCAGCAATAAAAAATCCAATGTGGAAGACAGTATTGTTCGAAAGGTAAGTCAGTTTTTCCCATTGTTTTCCTAGTGTTCTTCAAAAAGAGGGTAATTTGAAGGCATTTAAAAGTAATTTTTGATTTTAAGTGGGTGTTTCTACTTCACATGTAAATTTTTTTCAGGTTCTATTGGGTTTAGTCAGTATTGGCTTTCTTTTACCCATCTTTAGCTTCCATTCTCTTTCATCTTTTTTTATGGTCTTAAACTATAGATCTGTATCCTAAAAATATTACCTCTTTGGCTTTTCCCTCTCACTTCCTTTTTCCTAATTTAATCTTCAATATTTTATTTCTCTATTTTTTACTTGCACTTTTGTCTTTCTATAACTTACTTTTTTTTCCTCTTTCAAAAATATTTAATTAGATTGCCTTTGTAATATCTTTGTGTTTAATTGTGGCTAAACTACTGTCATCTTTATAAGCTTCCTTTTATTTGATTTCTAGTCAGTATAAACTAGGTATGTACTTTGCTTATATTTATATTTTGCATAGTTTCTAATAAAAAGTTGTGTGCCAAGTATCCAGTCATGATTTAATGGAATGAACTCAGCCCTGAAAGTAAAAGGGTCATAGATTTCCTTTTCTGCTCGTCAGTGTTCTTCAAGCTCTGTGTCATCATTTACCATGTATCTTCCTACTTGTAAGAATCAACTGGGACCATAGATTTAAAAAGTAGAAAATGCCATTTGAATTTTAAACAGCTGTTTACTCTGATAATGTTTGTAACAAACTCACACATTAAAATAGTGTGACCTGTGTCTTGTTGCTCCATCTCAGCCTTAAAATTTGCTCTAATTTTGATAGGGACATTGTATTTTAGATACAGTAGTAGATTAGATTCAGTGGTTGAAATAACTGCAATATGAGAAATGTGTAATAAAACAGTATTTCTAGATGCAATTTTATTTGTCCTATTTAGTTTTTTTGTTATTATCTTTATTTTACTGCTTACTATTCCCTATTAATTATGGGAAGCAGTCTCACTTAATGCTTAAGAGCATTGGTTCTGCCCCTCCCCCATTCTTCCTTTCTTGCCATCCTTTTTTGTTCCTTTATTAAAGATTTATTTATTTTTGGAAGAGAGGAAGAGAGAGAGACAGAGACCAAGATCTTTCATCTGCTGGTTCACTCCCCAGATGGCTCCAATGGCCAGCCCTGGGTCAGGCTTGAGCCAGGAGCCAGGAGCTTCTTCTGGGTCTCCCATATGTGTTGCAGGGGCCCAAACACCTGAGCCGTCTGCCTCTGCTTTTCCTAAGCCATTTAGCAGAGAGCTAGATTGGAAGTGGAGCAGCTGAGACTCAGACTGGTTCGTCCATGGGATGCCAGCATCACAGGCGATATAATTCCATTTGTGTAGTTTTGCTTTTTTTGTACTTTGGAGGTCTTATCTAAGAATAGACAGTTCTCAAGAAATAAATGGCCAACAAATATATGCAAAAATGCTCAGTGTCACTAGCCATAAGGGAAATGCAAATCAGAACAACAATGAGATATCACCTCTGTCAAAATGGCTATTATCCAAAAGACAGAGAGTAATAAATGTTGGCAAGGATGTAGAGAAAGGAGAACTCTTATATACTGTTGGTGGGAATGTAAACTATTAGGTCTACTGTGGAAAACAGTATGGAGAGTTTAAAAAAAACAAACAAACAAACCTAGAAATAGACCTGCCATATGATCTAGTAATCCCACTATTGGTATATACTGAAAAGGCATGAACTCATCATATCAAAGACATACCTGCTCCACCATGTTTATTACAGCACTGTTCACAATAGCCAAAGGTGTCCATGATCAGATGAGTGAATAAAGAAAATATGAAATGTGTGTATTTATATATATTTATGTACACACACATGTACATACACACAATGGAATATTATTCAGCTATGAAAAGCATGAACTTCTATCATTTGCAGCAAAATTATTGGAATTGGAGTACATCATGTTGAATGAGTAAGCCAGACAAAGAAATATTGGATGTTCTTCTTTATATATGGGAGCTAAAAGTAAAAAAAACAAACAAAAAAACAACCTTCAAACAAGGCAAACAAAAGAAATGCCCACGTGTATCAGTTTTGCTGCAAACACTATAATGTTTTGTTAAATTTGCTTTAAATCTTTGTCAAATTGATAGAATGATATCCTGCTATAGTTTTGATGATTTTATGGCTTCTAAAATTTACTTTATGGGAATAAAGTTGAAAAAATTTTCATTTGATTATTGTGTATATCCCTTGCCTCTTTTCTCTCTGGACTATGGTCTTTTTAAGCTTTTTTATTTGTTGAACTCTGTATTTAGTAGAGTCATTCATTAATCCTTTGATTATAATGTAAATTTAATATGTTATTTCCAAAAAAATTTTTTAAGGAAAAGAGATAAAAATATTTTTGAAAAAAAAAATTTGCCCAACATATTATCAGAATGTTTTTTAAAGAAGTTTTATCATTCTGAATTCTTTATTTTTGTCTAACATCCACTATAATTATTGGTTTTATTGTGTGAATTATGAATTAAAGTTTGCTTTTAAAACATTATTAAATTGTTTGAACAGCAGAAAAATAAGCAGCATTGACTCTGGGGTCACAGTTGTATTCATAGCCCAGTGTTGCCACATAGGAGTTCTATGAATGTAGGCAAGTTAGCTTTGCTCTGTGTGCCTCCAGATCCACATATCTATAGGGAGTACCTATAGTAGTACCTGTATCAAGGTTGCAAGGATTAAGAGAGTTGTGTGTGGAAAATACAGAGTAGTCCCAGGTACATAGTTAATGTTACGAAACTATTTAATTATTACTAAAGTTACTAAAATATCTCCTAAACTGAATGTTACTTGGAGCACTAATATATATTTACCAATAATGGAACAAATGTATATTTTCCGTCATTTTAGTGGAATATCTATATAATCCACTTTTTTGTTTTTAAGGTCTGGTATTGAACAGATTTTTTTTTTTTTTTTTTTTTTTTTGACAGGCAGAGTGGACAGTGAGAGAGAGAGACAGAGAGAGAAAGGTCTTCCTTTGCCGTTGGTTCACCCTCCAATGGCCGCCGCTGCAGCCGGCGCACCGCGCTGATCCGATGGCAGGAGCCAGGATCCAGGTGCTTTTCCTGGTCTTCCATGGGGTGCAGGGCCCAAGCACCTGGGCCATCCTCCACTGCACTCCCTGGCCATAGCAGAGAGCTGGCCTGGAAGAGGGGCTACTGGGACAGAATCCGGTGCCCCGACCGGGACTAGAACCCGGTGTGCCGGCGCCTCAAGGTGGAGGATTAGCCTATTGAGCCACGGCGCCGGCTCTGAACAGATTTTTGGCTGATTGTTTTTGTATGTTTTTATATGTCTCCAGGCATATACATGTGTGTATTTCAAACATATCAATATTTCTATAATTCAGTCTTGGAACTACAGGAGAAACAGCACTTCCCATGTGTTATTGTATCTGATTTTTGCAACAACCACTTGAAATTTGTGCTATTGTTTACACATAGGAAAGCAAATTAAGTAACAGAGCTGGGATTCAAACTCAGTTTAGTCTGATTCAGAAGCACTTACTCATTACTGTTACACTAAATATGTTGTTTTCCTGACAAATTCAAATGAATTTATTTTGGTTTATAGTATTTGTACTAAAAACGTTTCTGGGGTTGTGTTGTATGTTAATAATTGAAAGTGAAGATATATTTTGTTTTTGTTTTCCTAGCTCATGCTTGATACATGGAATGAGTCAATCTTTTCAAATATAAAAAACAGACTCCAAGATAGTGCAATGAAGCTGGTTCATGCTGAAAGATTAGGAGAAGCTTTTGATTCTCAACTTGTCATTGGAGTAAGAGAATCCTATGGTATGTCCTGAAAGTTTATGTTACTAGTTTTCTTTTCATGGATACTCTATGACAATTATAGAATAGTTCTTTTAAAGTGATATTTATTAGTATATAAAGTCACATTTTCTGCTTATGCTATTTTTGTTTTTCTTTTTTTTTTTTAAAGATTTATTTTATTTATTTGAAAGACAAGAGTAATAGAGAGAGGCAGAGACAGAGAGAGAGGTCTTCCATTCGCTGGTTCACTCCCCAAATGGCCGCAACGGCCGAAGCTGTGCCGATCCGAAGCCAGGAGCCAGGAGCTTCTTTCGGGTCTCCCACACAGGTGCAGGGGCCCGAGGACTTGGGCCATCTTCTACTGCTTTCCCAGGCCATAGCAGAGAGCTGGATCGGAAGTAGAGCAGCTGAGATTAGAACAGCGCCCATGTGGGATGCTGGCGCTTGCTTCAGGCCAAGGCATTAACCTGCTGTGCCACAGTGCTGGCCGGCCCCTGTTTTTTGTTTTTCTAAGAAATACAAAAATGGTACTAATTCTGCTTTAAAGAATCCTTGGAAAAATCCTTGACGTGATTAATATTGTTCTACGTGTCATTAATTTCTTTACTGGAAAGTCCTTTTAGTGATCTAAATTAAAGAAATATAAATATGAATCTGTCTCTCATAAAATGTAACTGGGTTTATGTTTTTATTTTCAGAAATAAGTCAGCTTTCATGTGTTCATTATTCTAACTTCTTAGCTTCTGACATTGATGCTCATATTTGTTCTTTCAGTCATGTATGTTTTTTCCTCTGACCTAGAGTACTCTTCTGTCCCCTTCTTCATTTTTAACTCATCCGCATCTGTTTCCTGGAGGCCTTTCCTTGTCCCAAAACTTGGTTAGATACTCTCACTGAGTGCTTCATAGTACCTGTGACTCCCTCAAAAAGCTAAGAGAATCTTCAGAAAATTCATGGAAAATATGTATTATTAAAAACTTGCATGAATTTCTAAATTTTTTGCAAACAAACTTTTAATTCAGTTTTCCACAAACTTTCTGAAGTAGTCTTATGTCCTTTTAAAAAAAATTATTTATTTATTTATTTGAAAAAGAGACATAGAGAGATCTTCCATTTGCTAGTTGACTCCCCAGATGACTGCAATGGCTAGCACTGGGTCAGGCCACCGCCAAGAGCCTGGAGCTTCTTCTGGGTCGCAATATAGGTGGCAGGGGCGCAAACACTTGGACCATCTTCTGCTGTTTTTTCTAGGCCATTAGCAGGGAGCTGGATTGGTAGTAGAGCATCTAGACTTTGGAAACAGTCTTCTTACAGTGATCTTACTGCTGTCATTTCATTTCCTTACTTCTTAATAAGATTAATTTTTAAGTACCATCTTTACTGGTATTTTTCCTAGTTAGCTTTTTTGTGGTACACTATGCTAAATTCAGGCTACTTAGTTTCAGATTTGAGGCTCTCTAATGTCATTCCTAATTTGTCATTCTACCTTACCCTCCATTAACCTCACAGTCCACTTAGACAATCTGGTTGTTACAGCTTGTGCTTTTCTGTTTCTGAATATTTATCTTTCTTATTAATCTCTACCTTTGCAAGTCCTGGTTTATTCTTTAAGATTCAGTTAAATCCCATCTCTTCTTCAGTGATTTTTTTTTTAAATCATCCAGTTAGAAGTCAGTCTCTTTCCTACTCAAAAATAAAATAGTCCATATTGCCTGTACTGTTTACTTGCTGCTTTGAAGTTCCCTTGAGCATTGTCTCTGCATTTAATGACTCAGTATTTGTTATTTCATTTATTGTACTCAAAATGCACATTTAGGTCATATTTAGAGTAACATTTTATTTTCTGTTTTTCAGTTAACCTTTGTTCTAATCCTGAGGATAAGCTTCAAATTTATAGGGACAATTTTGAGAAGGCATACCTGGATTCAACAGAGAGGTTTTATAGAACACAGGCACCCTCGTATTTACAACAAAATGGTGTGCAGAATTACATGAAATATGTAAGTCTAAACTTTGTGTGATAATTTGAGCTATTCTTTTGATCTTCTTTAAATGATTGCTGTTTTGCTTCTGGACAGGCAGATGCTAAATTAAAAGAAGAAGAAAAACGAGCACTGCGTTATTTAGAAACAAGACGAGAATGTAACTCTGTTGAAGCAGTAAGTAATTTTGGAATTGTACATTTTGCGGGATTATTTGAAGTACAGTAGCGCAGGAGTGGCAATTACATGTTTGATACACATAATATTATTCTTTTTCATGTCTCTGACCGACATTTACTAATTGATTATATTACTCCTGCCCTGTGAGCTAAACCAGAGCTTCAAAAAGTGCCTGACTTAGAGCACATTGTTCTTCAGCATTGATGTGTAAGATACAAATTTATTATCCATCCCTTCTGTAGATTTTCTATATTTAATATCCACTACTAAATTTTTAACATCTCCTTTTAATATGTTTTATGCATATCTAAAGTTAATCGTTTTAGTGATTTTCTTGTTGCAAGTAAAGTAGGATCCTTGAAAGATAATAGTTGATTCTCATTAGTCACAGCAGTGATGTATGTTCAAGTGGCTTTCAGCACTGAATTAGTGAATACTGAGCCAATACTCCCAGGGAAATCTTTCTTCTTATTAAGGGAGGATGTTGTCATGAGATAAAATGTTATTAAGAATTATAGGAAGGCCGGCGCCATGGCTCACTAGGTTAATCCTCCGCCTGCGGCGCCGGCACCCTGGGTTCTAGTCCTGGTCGGGGCGCCGGATTCTGTCCCGGTCGCTCCTCTTCCAATCCAGCTCTCTGTTGTGGCCCAGGAGTGCAGTGGAGGATGGCCCAAGTCCTTGGGCCCTGCACCCATATGGGAGACCAGGAGAATCACCTGGCTCCTGCCATCGGATCAGCGCGGTGCGGCGGCCGCAGCAGCCATTGGGGGGTGAACCAACGGAAAAAGGAAGACTTTTCTCTCTGTCTCTCTCTCTCACTGTCCACTCTGGCTGTCCAAAAAAAAAAAAAAAATAGGGGCCAGCGCTGTGGCTCAGTAGGTTAATCCTCCACCTGCAGTGCCAGTATCCCATGTGGGCGCCAGTTCTAGTCCTGGCTGCTCCTCTTCCTATCCAGCTCTCTGCTGTGGCCTGGGAAGGCAGTAGAAGATGGCCTGTGTCTTTGGGCTCCTGCACCCATGTGGGAGACCTGGAGGAAGCACCTGGCTCCTGGCTCCAGATCTGCACAACTCCTGCCATTGTGGCCATTTGGGGAGTGAAACAGCAGATGGAAGGTCTCTCTCTGTCTCTCACTCTCACTGACTGTAACTCTATCTCTCAGATAAATAAATAAAAATATTTTTAAAAAAGAGAATTATATAGCGTTGTTTAATATTATAGAACAAGTTCTTCATTTTAAAAAAATGATCAGAGGGCCAGCGCCGCGTCTCAGTAGGCTGATCCTCCGCCTTGGCGCCGGCACACCGGGTTCTAGTCCCGGTCGGGGCGCCGGATTCTGTCCCGGTTGCCCCTCTTCCAGGCCAGCTCTCTGCTGTGGCCAGGGAGTGCAGTGGAGGATGGCCCAAGTCCTTGGGCCCTGCACCCATATGGGAGACCAGGATAAGTACCTGGCTCCTGCCATCGGATCAGTGTGGTGCGCCGGCCGCGGCGGCCATTGGAGGGTGAACCAACGGTAAAGAAGACCTTTCTCTCTGTCTCTCTCTCTCTCACTGTCCACTCTGCCTGTCAAAAAAAAAAAAAAAAAAATGATCAGAGGAATTAACTATGCTACATGTTTTCTTTTACACAGAGAGCTGACCTTTGTGTGCTTTAGAATAGACAGTAATTCAAGTTTGGACAGTCTTGGAATCTGCTCACGTATAGCAGCAGTATTTCCTCTAGTTCCTGTCAGTGTTAATAACTAACTACTATGTGTAGATTTACATTCAAAGGAGTAACATTCCAGTTTGCCTATAACCAAACATTTTCCATCTGTAGGTGGTATTTTGAAGAAGTTTGTTTTTACTGCTGACTTTGGGTTCTTCCATCTTGAATGATAGTCATGTTTATTTTATTCTTTTTTCAGAAATCATATGGAGTTGGATTTTTTTCCCTTTTTTTTTTGGAGGGAATTTTTTGTTTGTTCATGATTTATAATATATATCCTCTTTCAATTGTTAAAGTAATGATATTGGCCAAAAAAGGAAAGATGTCTAATTTATTGGTCATTCATAGAAATTCTTTATAGAAATTTAAAGTTTGAGGCCGGCATTGTGGTATGGGGGGAAAGCCGCCGCCTGCAGTACTAGCACCCCGTATGGGTGCCGGTTCAAGTCCCAGCTACTCTACTTCCTATCTGGCTCTCTGCTATGGCCTGGGAAAGCAGTAGAAGATGGCCCAAGCCCTTGGGCCCCTGCACCCACGTGGGAGATCTGGAAGAAACTCCTGGCTTTGAATCAGCCAGCTCTGACCATTGTGGCCAATTGAGGAGTGAACCAGTGGATGGAAGACCTCTCTCTCTCTCTCTCTCTCTCTCTCTCTCTCTCTCTCTGCCTTCCCTCTCTCAGTTTAACTCTGACTTTCAAATAAAGAAATAAATCTTAGAAAAAAATTTAAAGCTAAGCTTGGGCTGCATTCATAAGGCAGAAAAGGTTATTGAATGTTTTAAAAACAGACATGCCATTGTCAGAGTTGTCCCTCAAGAAGTTTAATGTGGTAATAGTACAAAATGAGGAAGAGCTGAAAATAATAGCTAGAAGGTTCTACAGTAATTCAAGCAAGGGATTAAGAAGACCAGTAGAGTTACAGCAGTAAGAATGGAGAGGACAAAAGATAGAAAGACTTTCCAGAGGTAGAACATGCTATTGTATGCGTAGGACTAGACATTGCAGACATTTGTGCCAGTACTATTTCTTGGATTTCAGTTTGGGAAAATTTTGCTGCTACACAGAGATTAGGTATAAAAATAAATATTAGGGAAAAGAATGAATTCAGTTTTGGGGATTTGAATATTTTTAATAGATTGATGTACCTGTGTAGTAGGAGTGTTTTGTTCTACTCCAGTTTATAGAGCTTAATTTGATTACATCTACATTAAATAATGGAAATTCAACTTTATAAAGGAAAAACTAAGGAGCTGCACTGATACGAAGGCAGGAACCAGAAGGTTCTTTTGGGTCTCCCACGTGCATGTGGGAGCCCAAGGAATTGGGCCATCTTCTGCTTTCCCAGGCCATAGCAGAGAGCTGAGTCAGAAGTGGAGCCGCCAAGACTTGAACCGGTGCTCATATGGGATGCCAGCACTGCAAGTGGCAGCTTTACCTGCTGCGCCACAGCGCCAGCCCCCATGGTTCCTTCTAACATAAGTGCTTCTTATTTCCATCACTGAACTAAATTCATTAGCAATTATTTCTAGAAAAATGTTAAATAATATTGTAGACACTCATAAGAATGCTTCTAAATTTTTTAAAAAGATGTATTTATTTATTTGAAAGGCAGATTTACAGAGAGGCAAAGGCAGAGGCAAAGAGAGAGAGTTCTTCCATCCACTGGTTCACTCCCCAAGTGGCCACAACTGCTGGAGCTTGCCTAATTGGAAGCCAGGAGCCTGGAGCTTCTTCCAGGTATCCCACGTGGGTGCAAGGCCCCAAGGACTTGGACCATCTTCTGCTGCTTTTCCAGGCCATAGCAGAGAGCTGGATTGGAAGTGGAGCAGCCGGGACTCAAACAGGTGTCCATATGGGATGCTGCACTGCAGGCGGCGGCTTTACCTACTGATCCACAGCACTGGCCCCAGTGCTTCTAAATTTTTACCATTAAGCATCATGTTGGTCTTTGGCATGATATAAACATTGTATTATGTTTTAAAAAAGTACTTTGGGCTGGCATTTTGGCATAGTAGGTAAAGTCACCTCCCACAGCACTGGCTGTTCCAGCTGCTCCACTTCTGACCCAGCATCCTGCTTATGGTGTGGGAAAATCATTCCCAGGAAGATGACTCAAGTGCCTGAGCCCCTATCACCATATGGGAAACCCAGATGAAGCTCCTGGCTCCTGGCTTCAGCCTGGCTCAGCCCTGGCCATTGCAGCTCACTGAGTGAGCCAGAGGATGGAGGTTTGTCGTCCCCGCCCCCCCCCCTTTTGTGTGTGCGTGTGTGTTTGTGTGTGTGTCTCCCTCTCTATAACTCTTTCAAATACATAAATAAGTCTTTTTAAAAAAAGAAAATAAATAACTCAGTTATTTTCCTTTCATTATGAATGTTATTAGAAATGCTTTTACCTCATTTCTAGAGCCATTTCCTTATTCCATGGAGAAATATTAGAGGCATTTTCACTAAGATCATGAACAAGGCAAAAGTGTTCTCCGTGCACTATTTGATTCTCCTAATGGTTGTGATATTAGGGCCTGGGCCAGATTGAAGCCAGGAACCTGGAATTCCATCTGGGTCTCCCACTTATTTATACTAAGCAAGTTAGAATATAGCCCAAGTGTTTGGGCCTCTGTCACCCATATGGGAGACCCAGATGCAGTTCTTGGCTTCCGCCTGATCCAGCCCAGTCTGTTGTGGCCATCTGGGAAATGAACCAGTAGAGAGAAGATCTCTTTCTCTATCTTTCCCACTCTTTTAAATATATAAATCTCTAAAAACCATTAATACAAATGAGACAGTTGACTCAACTAGGGACATAAGAATGGGTAAGCAGGAACTGACACTGTCGTGGAGTGGGTTAGGTGGCTGCCTGCGGTGTCAGCCTCCCACATGGGTACCTGTTCCCAGCTGCTCCACTTTTTTTTTTTTTTTTTTTTTAAAGAGACTAGAGAAAGGTCTTCCATCCGTTGGTTCACTGCCTGAATGGTTGCAATGTCTTGAGCTGAGCAGATTGGGAGCCAGGAGCTTCTTCTGTGTATCCCACACAGGTACAGGAGCCTAAGCACTTGGTCCATCCCCCACTCTTTCCCCAAGCCATAGCAGAGAGCTGGATTGGAAGAGGAGCATCCAGGACTGGAACCAGCACCCATATGGGATGAAGTGCCGTAGGTGGAGGCTTAGCCCACTACGCCATGGCGCTGTCCCCTGTTCTTCTAATCCAGGTCCTTGTTAATGTGCCTGGAAAAGTAGCAGAAAATGGCCCAGGTGCTTGTATCCCAGCACCCACGTGAGGGACCACATGTTGTGGCC